TAGTTGTAAAACGCTTTCGGATATGTCTGTACTGTAAGGCTCCAGCAGGAGACTGTCTTAGGCTCCTTGTTTAATGTTAATGCTGTGGGTATATATATGATGATCAATCAGATTATTATTAATATAAGTACCTAAATGTACCAATGTACTTACGTCTATATGTAGTTGCAGTACATCACTTTTGGAAAATGAAAAAGTTAGAACATCGTTTCTTAGAAATTCAAAATAAATGATTCCATGTTAAACTTTACAGAGGAAGTGTTAAAAAGAGAAACTTATTCGTGAACGCAGAACGAAATCATAAAAAGCTTTACATTCAATTTAAGATTTAAAATTCATTGACGCGAGAAGTACCTAATATAAAACCGCGCAGGTATTTATTTTGAAAACAAACTCGACATGTTTAGACATCAGGGACCGCCCGCGGAACATAAATATTCCGTCAATTGATTAAAACAAATAATTATACATTAATTCTTCGATTTTATGCATTATGAGGTTATTTTGGAAGTCGGTTAAATTGTGGCTGTAAGCGAATGAGGAAATGGTTTGAAATTATATTTGTGTAGTCACACACTTATTTGTATACAATCTGTGAAATGTAAAACAAAGTAGGATCTATTATGGTGGTGTTTCCTAACCGATACATATACTTTTTTAAGTGAGGGAGAGCCATACTTCGGCACGAATGGGCCGACTCCATCAGAGTGATACCACGGACTCACAGAAAACCGAAGTGAAGCAACGCTTGCGTTGTGTTTCATCGTGTGAGTGAGGTTACCGGAGGTCCATTTATCCTCCCCTTTCCCAATCTCCCGAATCCCTGAATCCCCAACGATCCTCAAACTCCTAATCTCCAAAAAGCCGGTAACGCGCTTGTAACGCCTCTGGTGTTCCAGGTGTCCATGGGCGACGCCGATTGTTTACCATCAGGTGATCCGTTTGCACGTTTACCGACTAGTTTCATAAAAAAAATACAACCTTCAAACCTTCAAGTCAAGAGCGTATTCCTTTTTAAAAAGCCGGCAACGCACTTATGTCTTCCCTTGGGTTGCGGGTGTCCATGAACGGCGCTGATCGCTTACCATTAGGTGATCAGTATGCTCATTTGCCTACTATTTCATAAAAAAAAATCTAGTGTAATAGGGTAGCAACTGACCAAATAATTAATTAACTCTTACTTTTTAAGCTAATAATGTAATTTCAATTCACCATTAACCCTTTGAGTACCGTCATTACAGACACAATTAATGAACAATAGGTTGCGGTCACCGATGTCCTCACGATGTTTGACAGTTTAATGACTACTCTGAGCGTTTTGTACCTGGGAGGAGTTTGCTCTATGCTTGGCAGGCGGATTGGAGATATAAAAGATTGCAGTTTTAAAGTTTGAGATTTTTCTAGAGAGCGTTGCTACCAAATCTCTGTTAGTACAACATAACTTAACTACACGCCTTTTATCCCCGAAAGGGTGGGCAGAGATGCACATTACGGCACTTAATGCCACTGTACAATGTACAA